GAGATCTTGGTGTAAAAAGAGATCATTTGGTCGAAATAATAAAAAAAAAACCAGTTTTTACTGAATAATTTCGTTAACTTGATATAGACTAGAATGTTTATAAGGGCCAATTTAGTAGGCAAAGTATCTACTATTCGCTCCGTGCGTGACTGACACGACACCTACCGCCTTCTTCTGACAATTTTGGAGTCCCAATTTTCAGGTTAAACATATGACATATGTTTGACATTGTTAAATACATGCGAAATTGACAATTAATATTAAATTAGTTTTTTAACTATATTTTTTCAGTTTATGTACAAAATAAATGTATTAAAAACTGGGTTTCTCAAAATTCATCATAATATATCTTTTCAACTCCAAACGTAAGAGAAAGGGAAAAATCTAGTACTGACAAATCAAGTTTTTCACGCAAAAGAGCATATAATTAAAAACAATAATAGTAAAAGTTATGATATAAAAGCTAAAGTCATCTGAAGTTAGCTTGAAGCCTTATGAAATATCATTCAAGGTAAATTATTTAAATTTTTCCTATTTCAATTGCGTAAAAATGAAATTATGTGATATTTACTTTTTCATATTAATAGCAGGAATTTATCCTTTTCTTTTCTCTAATTTATATGTAATCTTTGGAACCTATAAAAACTACACTCACTGTTTTTGCTATTATTAGCACAATTAAATACGCAACATGTATTTGCACACATTTTTGATAAAATTTATGCGTAAAAATATTTTGTCCAATATTCCAATTTTGTCATATTTCGCCGCTATGCACGCTGGCGTCGTTTCAATGTACCCCTACCATGGTCACACACGGAGCGAATACTGACATTAACGACAGGATAGTATTCTGAAACACTGGAAATCAAGTCAGTAGCGTCTATATCAAATTACCAGTGCCGTTCATTGTTAAATTTTTATACAGTTAATTTCAGTCCTAATTGTTTATGAACCGTCTTCCACCTTAGAACGTTTACATGGACAGCTTAACTAGCAAATAATTTAGTGATTTAACTTGTGTTAGTTATTGAAAAATCAATGCAGGTTTCAAATCATGTAAGTATTAATTGACAATTGTTTTGTCGAATTTAGGTACTGTTAAGATTGTTAGTTGTGTTGTAGAAGACACTGGGTGCCCACATTTCTTAAACAGTTATGAAGTTTACCGTTTCAAAAGCGTTGGCTCCAACTGTTAATGGTTCTGTGATTCCCCAAAACTGGAATGGAACAAATTAGAGCATCCAAAAGATATTTTCAGCCATATATAAGATTATTGGGAGCATTTAGTAACTTTAACAAATTAAATAGATACAAAGTGTGGCAAGATTGAGACTGACAAGTGACAGAAGAGCACCAAATTGCTAAATTTCACGTTAAAATTGTAAACCGCTACTGAATCTCATAGTTTATTGAAAGACGTTTATAGAAATTAATTTTTTGAGTGGTTTCAGCGTTTTCACGATGGGAGTTAATGGTGTGATTGCTGTATGTGAGAAAAAATGTGTATAAATTGCACATTGTTTGTCAAGAGGTTTCTGGCCAATTTCAGCATTCCGATGTTGAAGCATCCACCTTATTCTTCGGATCTTGCATCGTGTGACGTCTATTTGTTTTCTAAGGTACAAATCTTCATTACAAAGAATAAGATCTCAGTCCATTCATGATGTGAAAGAGGTTTTGGAATATTTAAATATATTATAAGTCCAAAATCCTTTATTTGGATGTATTTTTATTGATCAGTAAACTCAATGATCCATACGAAAAATTTGACAAGCATTGAACAAACCTACGGCTTGAGGTAGGCAAGTGTATTGGCAATATGTCAATATTGCCAATACATTTAAAGGTCTATGAATTTCCAAAAGAAACTAGTTGATTTTTAACATAACTTAACAAAAAAAATTGTTTCAATCATTAAAAAACGTTAAAAGATCCGACGAATACGGCTCTTTGAACGATAGAAGTGAAAAATTTGAGAATTCCATTAACTGACATTGGAACAAAATATTTGTCAAAAAATAATGGAACCAAACCAATGTTAGGTTTGCACATGACACTTCGTGGAAAACAAAGAATTTAAAATAACCTGCTGACAAATGGCTGAACGATTCAATATTTTGCATTAGTAAAAGTATGTATATTATTATTATACATCAATTAAAGCATATGTGGACACCCTAAGAGACTTTGTGCATCCTCCTCAGTGAATTTCCACATTATTTACTTGCAGTTGTACCAAATATAGACGCTTAAGATATATATAGATGCTTAAGCGTCTATATTCTTTGGTTGTACCACAGAATAATAAACAAACAGAATGCCCACTCTCCACGGAAAATTAAGTACGCGCATCTCCTTCGCGCAGACGTTCCGCCATGTTTTACGAGGATTTTAAAGGGAACCAGTGTTGTGCATGGAAAAAAACCAGGTTTATTTAACTTACGGCAATCATAGACATACTATACAATTATATTAACAGTTTTAAATATAATAACACAAATATAATATAATTAAACATAAATGTAAACAATTGCATAACCTCACAAATCATATGTTTGTGTCCTCCTAAAACATGGCGCGCGTGCTGAAAAACTTCAAAGGCGGCATCTGAGAGTGGCCCTTCTGATTGTTTATTATTCTGTGGTTGTATTATAAAATATTAACACAACAGATGTCTAACTGTAAACACCAAATCGCTTTGTAATGCGCATGTCTGAAAGTAAAAATACGATACATGTATTCGTGGATCACTTGTGAGGTTAACTTTTACTTGTTGCCAACTTCATGTTGTTTAAAAGTGTCATGATTAGGATCTTTAACACTTCAAAAGATCTTGAGCACCATTTTAGAGATTTAAACAGCGCCTCGCGTGTTTTCTTTACAGCTAGAAATATGTTGTGCGATATATTTGTTAGTTTTAACAAACAAAAACACCTAATATACATATTTTAGCTTTTTACGTGACAAAAGCTACTCAAAAATATTTCAAGTAAAATAATTGTGACATTGAAAAAAAATATTTCTCATATGGCACTTAGGATTGTACACAAGGTCTATTTGCACACCAATAAAATTTATGGAAAATATTTTAAACGATAGGTTAAAATTTCGGTAAAAATGTTCTAAAACATTTCAATTTGAACTTTTTAGATTGGGATAAAATATTTTATATGTATATATGTAAGTATAACACATTTTTCAGTAAATGCACTATTCGTGGCATGAAGGAATGTTAAAATCTATAATACTTTGGTATATATCGTACAGTGTGGACTAAAAAACGTTTTAAATTTGTGTTTTGCAGAATATAAAAATAAATACAGTGGGCGCTAGTTACGAAGATGCAGCACAAATCCTTATTTTCGTACCGATTCGATCCGAGCGCCCTGTTTACATATCGCTTCTCTGGAGCAACAATGACGTAAGTGCAATTTCTTGCAGTTTCGAGTTAAATGTGTCAAAAAATTCAAAACGCGATGGAACAATGTCAAACGGTCCATAGGAAACTCAATGGGAAATTTTAAATTGTTGAATTGCTGCTTCCCTAATTATTTTAGATCAAAAGTCATAAAAACTATTTGTAGAGGATTAAATTCTAAATTAAAAACAAATGTTAAAACCGTTCTAGGAATCAAATGTACTTCAAAATTTTGCAAAAATATAATAGATTTTTCAGACCACCCCTACAAGTTAGGCCACACGTAATACAAGAATATATTATAACTTGTTTGTTTTATCATATTCATGTCAGATGTTTGACAATTTTAATTGTCAATTTTTTTTATTTTATGATTAAATTATAAACAATGAATTTTACTAAATACTACTACTACTGAACAATATTACTTTGTGAACAATAAATTCTATTGTTGACAAATCGATCAATATAATGAAATGTACTCAGTTGACGAAAAATCGCATAATGTTGTATTCAGGCAATAGCGCGAACCTTTTTCTGTCATTACCGGATCTTTATTTAACGTAAGATATTCTAATACACTAAACTTTAATTCCATGTTAAGTTAAGTTATACAACAATTTAATGAAATCCAATATACTGTTACTGTGATCTTTATTACTAATAATAATATACGATAATTTCTAAACATAAAACTATAACAAATGTTATAATAAAACATGAATAAAACATTTTTATTATTGCTCTTTTCTCCTTAACTGAGTACATTTTTTAATCAACTTAATTTTTCTTTTAAATAATCACAAAATCACAAAATTTTGGCCATTTAAATCATAGATAAATATAATATAGTTGATTTAAATATTGCCAAGTATTAGAAACGTTAATATGACAAAACGCAACACGTAATACACGTTCTTTTCACGGCGTCTGGCCTGACTTTTAGGGGTGGCCTGAACAATGTATTATATTTTAGCAAAATTTTGGAATACGTTTAAGTCGTAGAACAATTTTAACAATTGTTTTCGATACATATTTGAGTCCTCTACAAATAGTTTCCCATGACTTTTGGTGTAAAATAATTAGGGAAGCAGGAATTCAACAGTTTAGAATTTCTCATTGAGTTTCCTATGGCCCGTTTGACGATTCACCACCCTGTATAAAATATATACACAAATATATATAAAAATACTTAAATTACTTGTACATAAAGATCCTGTTATTTCTTAGTTATTCGTTATTATTTTCAGCATGATCACTTGTATATGACGAATTCTTACTACCAGGCAAAGAATATGATTTATTTGCAATTGGGACAAAACCATCGAGTTAGAATCCATGGAGAGGGCATCACGTGACTAAAAACGACCTAACTTCGGCCATATTGGTATTATTGTTTTGAAACTTTTGACAGATCGTATATGTTTGGTTATATTTGTTGTTTTTCGAATATTTTCAGTTTTATAATAATGTTATAGAAACTGTAATATATTGTGATAGTGCATAATAATGGTTTTTTATTCTCAACGTAGTTGCAGTAGCAGAAGTAATGTTAATAAAAAATCTTCAGGAATATCGTTCCACAGGTTAGTATACAAATATGTAAACAAAGTAATGGCCCGTACTTCAGAGAATAAATGAATACTATTTGACTGTATTAATTTATCTTTATGTATAATATATCGTGTTTTTAGTGTTTACCGCGGGATAAATAAATCATAGTTTATTAAAAATGTATTGCACTTTTTTAGATTATGATTAAATCTTCTGAATAACTAGTCATATTTGTATAGTAGTTTTATTATTATTGAGTCTGGCCCTGATGTCACCGCCATATTGGTATTATCGTTAGCCACTCCTACCTATGCCGTTTTTAATACATACGTTAATATGCTCATAGCTTCTCCATAGATTCTAACTCGATGGACAAAACTCACCTTCTCGAGTAACTTTAAAATATTATCACAGGCTCTTTTAGGAGTTGGATTTGAATCTGTTAACATCTTCTGTATCATAGAAATACCCAAACTCTTTTTATGAATATCACAAGAGTCATGTTCTATAATACTATCTTCAGAAGATTCAATTAAAAGAACTGGTTCTCTTGTTGTATTCATTGTACCATGGGTTCGAGCGTTCTTGAATACGTCACACGCCTGGGTCAGCTGTCAAATGCCATGCGCAATATCATACCTTGTGTTCATTGTACCATGGATGTGGCTCATAGTGGCGCCAAAACGAGACAGCATTTGTCAAAATCGTCGGGGCATCGTAGCTATAGAGATGGAAAGCGCATAATACGAATAGATACTAAGTTTCGTGAAATATTTTCAGTGGAAGGAATACAACAAAAGAATTACATCGACTTAAAAAGCAGCTAAATTACTAAAATACAATACAGCAAGCACCAGCGATTTACCTTAAATTTACAAAGGTCCAAATTTGGTTGTTACTAACGCCAAAATGTTAATAGTGGGACAGGAAGTTTATTGTAGAGATGTGAGTCACTCTATCATACAGTTATCTAAATAGCGAGTTTCTAGAAAGAATAGAGTTGTAATAAGATGTAAGAAATGACAAAAAAGTGTTTTTGAGGTAGATTAACATTAGAATGGTCCAAAATATGGAGATTTAAAGAAAATAACACTGACGGCGGCAAGCAAAACAGCAAAACTAAGGGTAAATGTTAAGATTCTCCATTTTCAAGGTTTTCTAATCTGTTTTGGCTAAATATCTAGATATTTAATCTGATATTCTATTTTACTCATTGAATGTATTAATATTTTTAGCTCACACTGTACGTTTAACTCTGTACAGCTTATGTACAAAAATTGTTTTAATTAAAAATGAAGATAGTAGCGCCTGCCTTATAAACTACGTATTGCCGATACTAACATGTGGAATTTTCGTTATATTCTTCATTTTCCCAACCATTCGCTCACTCTGCCATTATCGAAGGCCAAGTTGTGCCTTGGAAGGGGCACCAGACGGCCTCGTTTCAATATTTCCATGTTTTCACCGGGATAATACTGAAAAATACACATAATAATCACATATAAACCTCCCTTCCTACTAATTTCTCTGTGTTCCAATTTTGTAAGATTAAATTTATATTAGGACAAAGTCTAAACTCTTTTTTATAGTAAATAAAGTATCTTACCTGACATTGTGAGATAAAATCTAACAAAGCTGATCCCAATTTTCGACTAGACTCGACCAAGTGTTCAAGACTACATAGAAAAAAAAAACAAAAAAATTAGTACTACAGCAAATATGTTTCTTATTTGTACGTGAAATTGAAAAAAAATGTAGATTTTACCTAGTGGGTTCAGCTAGGCCTCCATAAACTATATTATCACAGATTTTGGTGTTGGCGTTAACGTCAAAAAGGGGAATCCCAAAATGGCAATCCAGTAATGTCCAAGCCTAACGGAAAAAGTTAATGTATTAATGAAATTACCAAATTTGCGTGTATCTGTGGTTTATTAAAATATAGTCAATTTGGTTTCTAACGATTTTATCGACCTTGTCAGCTGGCGATTTCCAAGTGTAAAGGCGTCGTTTAGGCAGTTTGAAGAAAGTATTCATTATCGCAAGATTATGTTCTAGGCAAAATTCTATAAGGCGTTCTCCTCTCTCATTTCGAACACCGAGTCCATATGGTCCTAAAGTAGACTCACATCTTCCTTCTCCAACTTTGGCGTTAAAATTACCCATGACTACTGTTATATCTCTAGATATTGTATTTTGTAGAGTTTTTTGAAGGTCATCGTAAAATTTTTCAATTTCTACCCCTGTTTTATTGGCGGTTGGCGCATTAATCTGAATAAGGTTTAATTTCACATGTGTTGTTATCATTTGTATTAGCATAATTCTTTACGATATTGGTATAAAGTCTACAACTAATTTTGCAACTTTTTTACTGACATTAATTGCTACACCACACGATGTTGGCTGTCGGTACTACTAGAGTAGAAAAGTCGACCATTGGTTGTACTTAGTTCGCTGCAGTCGAGACATCTTGTGTCACTTATTCCCAATATGTCGATCCTAAGTCGCATCATTTCTTGTTCTATGTTCCTTAGTTTACCAGGCTTATACATGCTTCTAACATTCCATGTCGCTATTTTAAAAGTTGAATTTTGTATTTTTAGTACGCAGGGATTTCGTTGGTTAATGACCTGAGGAGCTCTGTCATCATTGTTATTTCTCCCCCTGCCGAATCTTGGCATCCGAGAACCTTCCAACGGAACCATCCGTTGCCTTCTGCTTCCTTATGCCGTTGACCATTCCGTGGTTCATCCGCCTTCTTTATCTCACGACAACAGAGTGCTCTTACATTTACCAGCTCCTCCGCCCAAAACCATTGTCCAATATGTCCAATAAATCGAGGGTTGCCACTTACGACATCCGCATCTCGTACCGTTTAGTTTTAGTGTAGATTTCATACAGATTGAACGAAATAAATTCGGAACATACGAAATATTATGTATTTCGGCTCAATTCTGCTGTAGGTGGTTGACCAACAAAAGGTTGTCAAATAATTATATTATAAAAATCCCATACTTCAGCGGGCTGCTGGATTCTGAAATAATAAAAATTGAAAGCTACACATAAATCTACGATTTTATTATGCTGTCAAACCACTTATAGTCCAGGAAATGAAGCATTTCACCTCGCAATTTTTTCGTCCTGCGTGGATTGACTTGAAATTTTAACAGAAGGTAGGTAATAGCCAAGGATCAAAATCTATATCGAACCAAAGTGTGCCAAAGCCTTGGGAGTGGTTGCCACCCCATTTCGGGAGTGAAACATTTTTTTTTTTCGTTTTAACTACAGGTTTCGATTAAAAAAGTGATTCTAAACCAAAAATGTTCTATACATTTTTTTTTGTAAAACTGATATTTTTCAAGTTATTCGCGATTAAGAGTAACAACTTTTCAACAAAAAATCGACGTTTTTAATCGATTTTTTGCGAATAACTCGAAAATGGTGCATTTTATCAAAAAAAAAAAAATGTAGAGAACAAATTTGTAGCTTTTAAAAAGACAAATACAATTCATTTTTTAAAATGTTTTTGCGATATAACAGGAACCGAAATACAGCCTATCAATGTTCAGCGGTTTTCTTCAAATGTCAAATTTGAAAGATTCAAAGTCAAATATCGGGAAAATGATGCATTTTTGGAAGAAAACTCACAGAACCTTTTTTAAAGAGTATAAATAGACCTATCATAAAAAAAGACTCTAGCTCAAAAATTGAGTGAGTTATGATGAAAATAAGGTCAATACCTCATTTTTTACGAAAAAATCGATGGAAACAACCCCTAACCACCCCCATATTTATAATCGAGTAATTGTCTTGATACTTAGCAAAGTCGACATCATTGTCTTTGCTAAGGGACGCTAATTGTATCCGAACGTCTGCGGTCCCTCCGGTGAAAAATCGATATTCACCCTTCTGCAATTATCTTTGTACATATATTATTAATACGTCCAAGAAGTTTGACCCATTTAAAATGCTTAGTTTTAGAAAAAGTACAGCATAAAGCGAGAAACGATTTACAATTTCATATTTTTTACCCTTCTTTTTTTAAATATCCTCGAAAATACTGAATATATGAAAAAAATAAAAATGTACTAAATTGTAGCTTTTTTAATGACTAAAATTTTCCTTTATTTAGATTTGTTGTACAATGAATATTTGGCGAGATATAACCGTTTAAAGCATCGATTTACGATCAAGCACCATCTTTTTCGAGCCCTTTAAACTCACCCCATTTAAAAACCAAGGGTTCCAAAAAGATTTAATTCGCAGATCCTTGTAGCTCTTAAAAACCTCTACAAAATCGTTTTTGAAGAAACACTCTATCGTTAAAAATGAAGGAAATACGTTTAAAAAACCAATTAATTTTTTTTTCCGGAAAATTCCATTAGTATAGTACAGTACATTTCGGAGCATAATAATCTACAAAACGGTATATTAAGTAGTGGAGCGTTATACATTCGAAATTTTAAGCGTTCTTATTTTGAAATCCCATACAACAGAATAAAACATCTGCTCATATGTCTATGGCTTGGCAATGAAAATATCAGAGCAACAGATTGGGGATGGTATTCCAAAGATGGTTTGTTATTACCCGTACGCATGAACAAACAACCGGCACCCGATGAACTTTTGAAAATTATTTTTTGCCAATGCAAAAAATGATGCGGCGTTTCATGTGGGTGCAGAAAAGTTGGTTTATACTGTAACTTTACTTGTTCTGGGTGCTCAGGTGAAGGGTGCAATAATAGTCCACCAATAATTGAAGAAGATGAGGATGACATAGATCACGATGAAGATGTAATTGATGACGAATAAAATTAATATTATAATTGTTTTACCTATAAATGTAAATATTTTCAACTATTTATGTAAATGTATAAGAATATATGTTGCCTTTTTATGTTGATAATTTTTTTTGTATTTAATTCTACTTTTTTCAATTTATATCTATTAAATTAGTTTAAAAAACTGTAATGTTGTAAAGGGTGATTTTCAAAAGTTGAAAAGTTTCAAAATTTTGGCAAAAAATTGTTTTCACCTATAGCACTCATAACAATTGATTTTTAAGGATTCAAAATGTATGAAATTGTATTTCAAAGTATAAACAAATCACTATTTAACTAATCCAAACCAAATTTCACTCATCTTAAGATTTATAATGTTATTTTACAATTTTTGAAAATTAGGGGTAGTTTTCACCCCTAAGAACAATCAGGGTTCATCGGCATGACATAAACTATAAAGCAGAGGGTGAGTTGAGCTTAATTCCAAATTTTTATGCAAATCGTTCCAAGGCGAAATCATTTTCTTCGCATTACTACTTTTTTTACATTAATTCCAAATTTTTATCCAAATCGTTCCAAGGCGAAATCATTTTCTTCGCATTACTACTTTTTTTACATTAATCTCTAACAAGGATCGCTTTTTAAGGGTTGAAATATGATGGAATTTTATTCAAAAGCACGAAACTATCATTATTTAATTAATTCAAACCAAATTTTACCCATATTCAGGTTTAATATAATATTTTATAATTTTTGACAATTAGGGGTAGTTTTCACCCCTAAGAACAATCAGGGTTCGTCGACATGACATAAACTATAAAGCAGTGGGTGAATTGAGCTTAAATCCAAATTTTTATCCAAATCGATCCAAGGCGAAATCATTTTTTTAGAATTAGTAATTTTATTACATTAATCTCTGACAAGGGTTGCTTTTTAAGGGTTGAAATATGATGGAACTTTATTCAAAAGTATAAAATAATCATTATTTAACTAATTCAAACCAATTATTACCCATATTCAAGTTTAATATGTTATTTTATAATTTTTGACAATTAGGGGTAGTTTTCACCCCTAAAACCCTTCAGCGCACTTCGGTTCGATATAGATTTTGATCCTTGGGCTATCACCTACCTTCTGTTAAAATTTCAACTCAATCCATGCAAGACAAAAAATTGCGAAGTTTTAACTTTTTTCGAGCTTCATTTCCTGAACTATTATCGCTTCCTTTACGCTAACAACATTGTTGCGAGACAGATAGTTGAACTATATTTTATACAATGTCTATACCCAGGTATGGATTTATTTTTGTCCAAGTTTTATATTGGTCCACTATTTCTATTGCAGTTCAAACAGACATATATTAAATTGTATGATCCGTTTTAAATTCGTACAATCTGTATGTACAGATTTTAAGAAGTAAATGTGGCATTGGTTATAATTTAGTAATTATAAAGTTTTTAAAAGTCCATAACAACAATTATTAAAAAACATTAAAGACTTTAATGAAAAAGTTATCAATAATAAAGAACTAGAAAGATTTTTGGACAAAATTGTCTAAGTAAAATTCTTTCGAGTTTTAAAATCGTTCTTGTAAATAAATATAGTAACAAAAACCTTACCTCAGCAATATTATTCTCCTCTCCACTGTCTTCTTTCTTCTGCTCGCAGTCGCTCCCACTTTTAACATTTTCCTCCTTATTATCCCTACTAAACATACTGATATTCTCCTCGTTGGGACTAGTAAGCCCATCTATCGATAGACTGTTCTTCAAACTCAACTCCAACGTAATGTTTTCCTTGTTGGTGCCCTCCTGACTTACCACCAATTGATCCAGTTCTTCTTGCAACAGATTCGAGCCTTCTTGGCTCGTGAAACCGTTCGCAGGTGACGACGACTGACTCGTGTTCGAGACTGGCGTAACGGCGAAGTGGCTTTCGACGGGAGATTGGAGTTTCGTTTCTCTTTCGGGTTTCTCTTGAGGTTTTTCGGTGTTGAATGCGAAATTCTCGTTCGATATCGATAACGGTTGGGAGTTCAGTTGATTATTGTTCTCTGTTTTTATCCGGGACAGTTTGGAAAATCCTTTAAAAGAAGATAATAAGATTATTATTTAATACATTCAACTATTTCATCTTTTGAGTATAAACATTTGTACATTTAGTACATTTGTATTTACATTTCATGCCCATTTTGTACAAAAAACATTACATTATTTGTAGAAAAATCAAATAGTGTCAAACTGGGAGATCTTGGCGGCGATTACACTGTATATTGCAAATAAATCAATTTATTAACTCACCTGATCCAGCAGTACGGTTGTTCCTACCAAGTCTAACTTGCTTTTCTCTATTCGGACACCCAAAATCGAGCACGCCGATATTGGCGAAGGTCAAATACCCACAGTTGTGGTCCAGATCGACCACTTCCTGCAAATACTTAACCGCCTTGTGTTGTCTGAAAGCCAAATCCGTAGGTCGCTCTTTAATTTTCTTCTCATTGGATTTGATGGGGGTCAGAGGCTGGAACGGGAAGGATATTATGTGTGTTTGGGCCGGTTGGTGGACCCCGTAGGCTTGGATCAGGACAGGGCTGAATTGGAGAGTGGCGTTGACATAGAGAATGTTGGCTATGGGGATAACGGCCGGTTCGTGAAGCCACGAGTGGATTAGTAGACGGGAAAAGCCGAGAAACATGCGTGGTAATTGATTTAGAGTTGTTCCTGAAAGGAAAATTTAGATTTGTATATAAATAATAACATATATGAATAAAAGTCTATTATATATTATGATAATGGCTTTCCTCCCTAGATATCTCTCGCTTTTACCAAGTATTCTGTCATTTTGTTCGGTTTTTTGGTTGGGTCTTCCAATTAAGAGCTCTTATTATCAATGCATCTTACATTTCGTTATCTTTCCACCTCTAATGTTTGTCTCCGACATCCTAGAAGACTCAGTGAACCTCATATTATGTATATTCCATAGTTGCCTATGCTACAGAAATATATTTCAAAATAAGATATTTGACTCACCCTTTGTAAGAAGTAAAGACGGTGGTCCATATCCAGTTAGATGGTATAAAAATAATTTGAACCATAAGGTATTAACTTCAGGTACAGCTGGTCCCAAATGAGGAGGTAGTAGACTTGTTACTGGCCTGACTTCTCTGCTGAGGGGGGCCATTGATACCAATAACCTAAAGCAAACAAATCATGATTTTCAAGAAGAGAGAAGAAAAACACACTTACTTATATTTTTTCTGCAACAGTCTCAAGCAGGTCGCTTCGTCTAAAGAATGCAGACTTTCTAACCTAACTAAATCTAAACCAGGACTAGGAAGTTTTCTTAAAGCCATTACAGTAGATCTTAAAATTACAGCATGGTCGAAGAATCTTCTAGCTTCACCTGAAACCATAAAATATACAAACCATTTAACTTATACCACAGGCAAAACAAATGAACTTATATATCATACTCATATTTCGTATGTTGCCATGTTGTGAATTTGGCAACAAGATAAAAGCTCAGATAAAAAAGTTTTTCATAGAACAATTTGAATTTGTAAGAGTTTATTCCCCAAGAGTATGTATATTTGCAAAATAATAATATTATCTAACTTATGACATGCAACAGCTATTTTGATATTCCACTTACCTTCCCCTTCGGCATCTAAAACAGATACTTTCTCCAATTCGGCTAAAAAGCTATCCAAACTCTCATCACAAAGTTTGCCCACTTCAAACATGGTCACTGCATGCTTTTTCAATCCCGGTGATAGGTTTCCCATCATCAAATATGCAGTTAGAGTGGAATCGAATAAGAAAGCGACCCTCTGACCACGTCTGGGCAGGCTACTGCTCGCTGGACTCTCTGGAAGATCCGATTGTGGGGATTGGAAGTCTGAAGAAGTGTTTAATGCGGAATCTTTACTGAGGTTTAAAGTTAGGGGAGTGATGTCCATATTACTGGAATAAATATTGATATTTTCTATTAATATGTGTGCAAAGAATGTTAACTATTTCTCACAAATGTAATAATAATTTTATTCTTACTTGGAGTCTTGTGTTGGAATGTTTAACCATGTAGGATGCCATTGTTTTTCCTGTTCAGGGTCCAGGTTTAACTTGTGGGCAAACTTCAGTCGACAGTATAAGGATACAGCTTGTTTCACTAATTCTGTATCAACTTGTAATACAGCAGCAAGCTGAAATAACATTAAAAAATAATTCGATCCATGCTGTAGTAACAAATCATATAAATTTACCTCCCCTACAGTAGTGTGCTCATCTATTGACACAAATATTTTATAAAGTAGAGTTTCAAAATAGTCTCCCAAGATCCTATTCATCACAAATCCTTGCAAGGGGGGTACTTGCACCATATCTGCAGCTGTGATGGGCACATCTAAATATATCAAGCCTTTTCTACAATAATTAGTTAGTTAATGATTAGTTTTAATTTGGAAATCTCTATAACTTACTTGTATAAACTCAGTACTGTGAAATAGGGTAACTCTCCAGCATTTTGAGATCCTAGATCTATTAATTTATCAATAATGTGTAATTCCTCATCATTAACCATCTAAAAAACAGTTAATAATATTTTTATAACTAAAAATAGGCATTTTGGTATAAAAATTAGCAAAGCAAAGGTAGTAATATATGATATATTCTGAAGAACAATTGAATGGCTCCCACCAGTAACGTTCTAAGCGACATAATGTTTAAAATCGGGTTTTCTGTTCAGAAACGTTCTATACAATATCCCAGACATGGCAAAGGTGTTTTCATGTTGTTATCATAGAGGTTGTCAGCACTGTGACTAGCGTTGCCCGCCACTTTTCGGACCTTGTCACGCAGTAACGTTCCAAGTGCCCGAAGATGTCTACATCGCTGTGTGTCAGTTTAACACCATCTGATATAAATCGGTTAAACCGAAGTAAAAGCAGGAAACTTAACATCGCTCATTGGTCTAGAAATGTGCATAAGGTTTTTAGAAATGCAGGGGAATTTGACACTGTGCTCCTCCCCCTTTGAAAGCCATGCTGTTGGGGTATTATTATATTATTTGTTAGTTTTGATAAGTTAGAAATCACTAGTTTGTCGAGAAGTTTTGGGATTGCTGACTGTATACAATTTTTCAATATCTTCCATTTTACCTGACTTAAAAATGAGTACAATATAACTGTTCCTCCAGAAAGGAGGGAACTCACCAGTCATAAGAGATAAATTATAAAGATATTTTAGGGGCATAGTAAGAAAGCATAGACAGTGCTTTAATAATACCGGTGGGATTTCATCAGGCCCTGAGGAGAATTTGTTTGGAAGTTTTCTTAATTCATCAAACACTGATATAGTGTCAACTTGAATTAGGTTTACAGGGTCAATGTGTCTGACACAGTTTTCAAAATCTGGAATGGGAGCACCTTTATCTTTCTCATATACACCAGAGAAGAACTCAGCAAAAAGGTTAGCAATTTTGATATTGCCCTGTGCCCTTCTGTTACCTAGATATATTTCTTGGAGGTAACTCGAAGATTTATGAAGTCTGCCAATGTATCCCCAAAATTCCCTGGAGATATTACTAAAATTTTTTTCAAGAGACGAAAAATGTTGTTTCTGACAAAGCGTATGTTCAACTTTACATTGATCACGCAGATTAGAGAACAATAAGTAGTCCTCATTTGATTTAGATAATTTAAACCTCAGATGAGCTTTTTTCTTTTGAATAATAAGATCTTTAAGTTTTACTGAGAACCAAATTGGGAACTTGGAACACTCAACAGCATTCATAGGACTTTGTGTAACTTAAAGGTTTTACTACTGATGTTTTATAAAAAGGTTTACAATAATAATATTTTAAGATATTAACTTATTTTTTATCGCTAAAAATGTTTTTTTCACTTCCTGAAAATTTTTTAAATTGGTGCTTGAAACGTTACTGGAGGGACCCATTCAATAATTGTGAACCACTCTCTAGGTAAATGTGGAATTTTAATCTAGCTTCGGATTAATAATTAATAAAAATTCTTGTTTCACTTCAGAAAATGTAATTATAAATAACCTACCTTAACATCTTCTTCTAAAACAAGTCCAACCTCTACTCTCCACCAAGGTTGCATATAAATATCACAAGGAACAGTAGGCAAGAGGCCTCTAACATTTTTCCTTCCAAACAATCTTCCTTTATTAGATCTGCTTTTATTCATTAAGTCAATATACTCATTTCTACCTATACCCAATAATCTCAGGCCTTAAACATAACATATATTTTATTGTTTTGTTGCAATTCACATATTTATTTTCGTTTAATGTATACAAAAACCTTTTCATAAATATAATACACTAACATATATTAAATATAACAAATGATTATGGGGGCATTTCTCAATTGCGGGCACTCTAACCTAACCAAATATATTTTCCTCAAGGCACTGCGTCACAGTGTTGCCGTATTTATTTTAGTAAAATATGTATATGAATGCTACAAATATAAATTTACTTTTACGAAATAATAATTTGTGTTATGAGAAGCTACAAATTTTAAATAAGCATAAAACTTGCCGTATTTTTTTTGTAAAATGTATATGAAGGTTTAAAATATAAAATATATAAATACGAAATTATAATTATAATGCATTTCTATTATATACGGTAATTTAATTATTACTATAAATTTTTTATATCATTTTAATCAGTTGTATTGTATATGCATTTGATTATTATCTTTAATTTAACTAAAATCTTTGAATTTTTATATAATTTCAATGCATTTCTATTATATACGGTAATTTAATTAGTACTATTAATTTTTTATATAATTTTAATTAATTTTATTGTATATGCATTTGATTATCATCTTTAATTTAACTAAAATCTATACTATTAATTTTTTATATATGTATCACTTTAATCAACATTTGTATAATATTATGTGAGAGTATGAAAAAACTGGAGACTTGGCAACTCTGACACCATTTAAGCCAACGTTAAATGTCATATAAATGCTTGGTTAGGTTAGAGTGCCCGCAATTGCGAAATGCCCGATTATGGAAATACTCACAGTCTGCTGCAGTAAAATTTGGCAATGTATCATAGCTCTTTTCAGCTTGCATAAGCTTTTCCACTACTGATATATAATAGTTAAAAGGTGTAATTCGTAAACCCTTCACAATCATATCAGCTAGATGATAAGGAAACAGCATAAGACGCTCTCTGCTATAAGACACAATTCTTTCATAGTATCTTTTTTCATCTTTAAAAATATATCTCACTACAAATAAAAATGTTAATTTTTATCAAAGCAAAGATATTACTTTGTAGATATATTCAAAAATACTATTTTTGATATACTCCTATAAGTAAGTCATTTAGGTGCCTCTATTCTAATGATAGCTTTCTCCAATCTGGTTCTGAGAAATGAGTTAAAAGATGTTTTCAAATGAATGAATGTTAGGTGTATCCGTTTTGTGCATGTTAAAAGTAAACATATCTTATCTATTGCAAAGCTTACCTAAGTTTCCGCGATATCGCAACTGATTCTTTATACTAAAATTAACCACACATCGATCATATTCTTGGACGAATTGCTTAGTATCTATAATATCCAATAAAACAATATTTTAACATAATAATCACCAAAAACATTAAAATCCAATATTTTTACCTGTTTGATATGTGAAGGAAGTTGTGGCCAAGGAACTTTGTTGCGGATATTTTCTTCAATTTCTGCATTCATTTTGTATTTCCTGATTGTTTCATTTCAAATTTCGTAAAAAGTAAATGTAAAATGTTTATTAAAATGTAAGACCTTTCTCTCAAAATTGAATATAGAACAAGGACAAGGACAGGTGTGACATTGACAATATGCGCCTTCTTTTTAATTGCGATAAAAAAATTGCCTACACCAATATAAATTTAAAATATATCAAATAATTATTTACTGCTATTGTAAAACCATCATTTTGGTTACAATTAATTTTATACGTAAGCCTTGGAGAATTACATATGTATTAGATATTAGATCTTAGTTGCGTAAACTCGATTTGTTTCATGCAAAACTTTAAAATCTCTACCTTTTTTATGTTCTTAATTCCTAAAAGAACCGCCCATGGATTTCTTCAAGATTATTTTCTGTCCAAATAATATTCTGTCATGTTGACATAATGTTGTAAACTTCACTCTTATAGCGTTCACAGATAAATTATACCTAGATTGGTAACAAAGATAAAAAAGTCAATGAACGATTTTGTTTAGCACCCTTCCGTTTGGTGGCACTGCTAGTCTCGTTCCTGCGTTTAGACAAGGAAAAAGAGTTTCTCGTTTCTTTCCTTGTCTAGTTACTGTCGTTGTTCCTTGTCACCTTTTTTCTTTTATAAAAACACATAATAAACATTTATACATAGTTACATTCAAAGTCACAAGTGAGTCAAGTCAATAAAACAAAACAAATTTTTATGGTTTTTTTTACATAAATAATGCCAAGAAGGTACAATTTTACGATTTTTGATTACAATTTGACAATTTAATCGTGAAATCGAACACATTACATGGAATAACGGTGGAAACATGAAGAACTGACCAAAAAAGGAGATATATGTTTCAGATTGCATGGATACTATGTAGTATTTTATACTAGCAAATTAGAATGCTGCAACAGAAACTAGAACAATTTTTATGTAGATATGCGTTGGTCATTTTAAAAGAGAGGAGGATATAATCAAAGTTGGACATAGGGGCATTAAGGGAACAGCCGTTTCAAGTTTGCTTTTACCATAAAACACGTGTGTTTATACATAGAATATATGTGTATGCACATAGAACACAAGTGTTGATTGTACCATGGTTTTTCCCACGACCGGGTAAGAAGACGAAGACCAGGCTTTGTATTCACATAAAACTTGACATTAGAATAACAAAAACAATTATTTAAATACTGACAGTTCCTGTCCCAACAGGACACTAATTTATATTACACTTGGCTTGTATTATTAATATTTCTTGTAACACATATAACATTTCTTGTAACATTTTATAAATAAAAGATTTTATTCTTTATTTTATTCTTTAATTTTTTAACAACTTTGGCATTTTAATGTAATGGAAAATAAATAAAACCTCAACATAAGAAAACAAGACAAGAACCTAAAAAATATGAGTTTCCAATCTTAGGTAATTTTACTTCATG